CTCTGGTTTGATAATTTCCACGAGAGAACCCATTGGATGCAGTGTTTTTGTCAGATATATATGCTGTGTTTGCACATTCCCAAAAACAGGTATGCAATTGCGATTATGCGCAAGCGGGAAAAACCTGCAGCTCCTTGAACATGCGGTCCGGATTAGGTGCGCGAAAATGTCAACCAGATACGGTCAGTGCTCGTGCTTGGTCAAGGAGACAAGGGGTGGTATGCGAAAAAAAATGATTCAAAAAACTCTCATGTTCGACAACTTGTCATGTATACTCGCGCATTTTTTTTTGAAACTGTCCTTGCGGCATGGAATCGCAGGCGCGGAGTCCACATTGTTTTATCAGCCAATGGCAGTCTGTCCTAGTCGCCCTCTGCCTTGAGATTTGCATTATTTTTGCATAAGCACACCATGCTTTTCCACAATATTTTTCTGGCCCATTGGTATTCCACATGCACAGTGTGTTATTGCGAGCTTCATTTGTCCTACAAGAGGTTTTTTTGTTGCAGGTGAAGTTTTTGGACAAATTTGGACAAAAATTGGTTCGGTGCCAACCACGAGAATGTTAGCATTGCTTGTTTGGCGCATCTTTTGTGTGCGACCTTGGGCGAGTTCTATTGAGAGCTATGTGCGTTTATAACAACTGATTGCAACAACATGTTGTAATTTTTTTTATTGAGGAATTTAGCTCATGTTGTATGGCAGACATTCAAGTGGATTGGGATCAGAGAACGATGACGTGCACCTTCGAGCCGGTCAGCACATTCAGGGATTTCATGGTGGTTCACTTATTGTTGCGCACGTTGAACATAAGAACCAGAGCACGATTTGTGAGGCCTCCTCCATGCAAATTTTGTTCCAAATTCAAACGGTCCACCGACTTCCCTTTCACAGGGTTGTACGAACGTGCGAAAATTGCTTTAAATTGAGGATGACCGGCCGCAACATGGTTTTTCCTCATTTTTAGCAATTGGAAGTTGCGAGCAGTGTTGGTTCGTATTTTAAAGCAGGATGTTTAATGAAGCGCAAAAGTTGACCCTTCTGGTTGCGGCCAGGCACTCATTGAGCATGTCTCGTTGTGGAAGCCATCTTCATTTTCCATCAGAAGTCTGTACTTAGCATTGACACATCAAAACTCTCATGCTTGCTAGTAATCGTATATGCGCCATGTTGTATGATTATGTACACGTGAATGCCAAAGGGAACCGTTGAGAAAAAATCCGTTCATGTTTAGGAGAATCGTTGCCGTTTCTTTTTTTACGGGTACATGCAACTGAGCAGGTTTTGCCGATTTGTTGTGGTTGTCTGAGACAAGTCTACATGATTATCTGTGCAGACGTCCCATTGGTAGTGTTCTGGCTTGGGACATGCAATCATTGAATCATATTACCTGCTTGACGTCAGCGCTTGACGGATGGAGAGCCATGTTGCGCTGTCAGGAAGAGCTGCGCACGTTCATGCAATGTTTGATGCTGCCCCCGCCTCCGGCAGCGCACCTCAATCGCAAGACACACTTTTGCCGTGTTGCTAGCACGGTACTTACGGAAGCCCAGGTCCAAAACTTCACCTTCAGCATCGCATCATGGCTATGCATAACGGATTTGTGTGCATTTTTGGCGTGCGGTTGGTCTCGTTGCAGTCGTGTATAGTCATGTCATATTTGTTTTTTTCGACAATTTCAGGTCGCGCAATGCCCCGCGTGCTCATTTACGGCGGCTGCCTCGTTCAGGAGTCATTTGCACCAATCATTTGCTGAATCATGATGCTTGTCAGTGGTTGCCCGTGGGTGTAAAGTTGCAAGGAAGAACAGAGATGACAAAAACATGAAAGTAAGCAATCCAGCGCAAATGTGTGTAGATGCAGTAGCTTTCTTCTGTGGGGGGTGTGAGAACTTCAATGCATTCATTAAGGCTCGACCTCCCCTTTGACAAGGCTTTGGAGGAATTGACGGCTCGTTTGGCGCATGAAAATGTGCAGGCCGAAGACTCGGCATTAGCAGCGTTTTCAAGCTTCAATGTGTTTGCTTTTGATATTGCGCCGGTCCTACCTGTGGTGTTTGGACGGAAGACGTGTGATCACCGGCATGCTGTTCGCTTCGCTAGAAATTTGCCTGTTAGGAACGCGTGCCTGGTGGCAACCCCAGCTCACGCATGCTCATGCATTGTAATTGGTATGGTTTTTTCGAAATGCAACTGTGCCTAACACTTGCGTGCGCAACGGAGGCCATGGATTATGCATTTATAAATATATATATATATTCTGGTGTGCAAATGCAGAGCCAACTTGCCAGACCTTCACCGTATGTAGGTGCCATTGCCAAGCTAGGAGGCATCGGTAGCCTGCATTTTGTGAATGGGATTATATGCCTTTAGCGCATGGATGAGGTGCCAAATCCTCAAAGCCCAGGACGGGGTTATGTGGTTCAAGCAGGTGCATTAAGAATCATTAAGATGCAAATGCGAATCGAGAAAGTATGCTGGCGCGCTGCACACCTGCAAGCAAAATGTAAAAGCACAGATGACAGTACATGCTGGTGTTCAGGAGACCTTTGTCGAGCACGCAGAAGCCTCGAGGCAGCACGTGCGCGAGTCCGAGAAGAGTTGATGTTGCTGCGGGGTGTCGGGAGCTAAAAGGTAGGACCATTCGAGACATCAGGTCAAATCCATGGTACATGAAGCAATCACTGGCCTTCTCCAGTTAGCGGCAGTTGGACCCACTATGGCAGAAGAAGGGTGGGAAGGCATAAGTAAATGTTTGTTACTGTGGCTGCTGGTACCAAGAAACCAGGGCCTCGCATGGACACAGGTTCGGATCTCTGCAATTTTGCGTGCCCAGTGCCTGTCAGCAGCTCCAGTGAATCCAGTACTAATCAGTGATACTGCCAATAGATACTGGTTACTTATTACAGAAAATTTGAAAAAGACATCGTTTCCTAATTTGCTCGATTTGATTGCGTGATTATGCTGTGGCTTGTACCTAAATTCTTGGGGTAGGATTGGGCAATTATTTGGAAGGATTGACATGAGGTCAGCATCGGAACGCTCGGAGCTGTCCCCTGTGCCGACTTGTTCTTCGAAACTCGCATTGGGTTCCTGCAAGAAATTCACTTGGTCATATAGGTGCTGCATGCTCAGGCCCATCGGCCGGCACACTGAAGCGAGCACGTTCCGTGGGCTCCGTTGGTTCGCGGCAGAGTGCGGCAGCCAAGCACTGGAACTGTTGAAAGCAGTTCAGAGCAAGTCCCTCACGCGGATTGAACACGGGCAGTCTTGGCTCAGTGTGCTTTAGCATACGTTGACTGAGGCTCTCCGACCTCACCTTCCTCGAAGAGGGGGCTAACAACAGAAGGACGGGGGTCGCATCTTAACATTTGTGCTGTCGCGTTGTTACGCGAGTGCAGCTGTCTTCATACGGAGAAAGAGAAGCGTTTGGAAAGGCTTGCCTGAGCGCCCGCGAAACTTTCTTGGTCAGTGGCCGCAGACGCCACCGCGGCTTGCCTCACGCTTGCTGTTTGGCCGCCCAGTGTTCGGAGGCAAAGGATGTCTTCAGCATCCTCACAGTACTGCAGTGTCGGCTGATGAAAAAAATGCCAATTCTGCTAAGGTCTGGCCACGTGCCGCAACTTCAAGGGTCTCCCTCGACCAGAAGCTCGATAAAATTATTGCACCAGTTCCACATTTGCTACAGTCGGTAGTCTGCTGACGTGACGGTTCAAGGCACAGAACCGCCTCATGAAGCCTGGGGTGCCTCAGCTGCACTGATTTGGATATAATACAGAGTGTAGGATGGAGAAGAGATAAGATGACCTACATGTGTGTATGGATGTTGTTGCTTGTTGGTTTATTTGGAATTGTTAAGGGTAATGGCAGAGCCAGTGAGGGCAAGAAACATGGGGCCCAGGGGAGACTTGTGATTGATCGACGCATATCAGCAGACCAGGTTGGCAATTTCTTGTGACGTGACGTTCTTTGGCATTCCAGACTTTCCATTGAGTTGATTACTAGCAACCATTGCAACCGCAGCCGGATTGATTGCGGTATGAAAACAGATAGCTTGACTTGCCCAGAAGAGGCGCACATTTTTTTGGACGCCGTTGCATCAGCCTGCTGCTTTGTCGCTCCCAGGAGCCTCGGCAGATCTCGAGCCGGAAGTGGATGGCGGGGTTGTGGTCTTGGCTTGTGCAAGCTGAGCAGAGATCGAAATCCTCTAGTGGCGAACCCTTTAGCGACTGGCGGTAAGGAGCTTGCCGAAAGCAAACGTGTAGGTTTCGTAAGGAAGCAAAATGTTCCGCATGTTGCGCCGTAAGCCTTAGTTGCGGTTCCGCACGTTGCCACCGTAAGCGCCGTAANNAAAAGCGAGCGCCGTAAGCTAAACCTTGGGTCTTGCAAGCCATTGTGAGCAAATTCCTTACCGTCAAAGACACCGGATAAGAATTTGAACCCCGCTCAGCTGGATAAGTTTGATGTTTGCAAGTCGTCTGTTGAATCCTACTTGTGAGAAGGTCTTACCATCATGGCATGATACTTGCCCACGTTGCGTGTAGAAACAGATCTCGTATACGCAGCCTGACGGTGTTCAGTTGAGTGCTGCAGCACTTTTGCATGAGCAACTGCAGGCTGCATTCGACATTTTGCGACTGAACTGCCACGTGGAGATCATGCAACCCCCGAATCTAGAAATTCAGAACCTCAAAGCCACGCTACTGCCTCGAACTCCACACCACCTTGCTGTCGAAAATTTAGCAGCCAGTCCGTGAGCAAGGATACTTGCTGGTGCGCTGGTGTGCAATTTGAGCGCAGGTTTGCAGGGGCCTCTCCCTGACACGGATGCTGGTGCAGGCTTGGATTTCAAGCAAGCGTGTTTGGCTGGTTTACCTGTCTAATGGGCAGACCTGAGGCTACGTGTACAGGGAAGCTAGGGGTACCAAGTCTCCAACGCCTGAGCTTTCTCATGATTTAATCGATGGAAGGTACTTGGACTAATTCTCTGACTGGTGCAAGGCTCGGACGCGCACCCGCGCCCCCAGCCTGAAGGAGGAGACTTCAAGATGAGTGACGCCTTACAGAAAACATGCCTAGCCCTAACCGTGACCTTGTTGTCCTTGGTTTTGAGTTCATGCTGTTGAAAAGCTGATCCCTGCACCCCCGCCAATCAAGCACATCTCCAATGCACTTTCAAAGGACTCCAAAAGACAAACATAAGTCCTAAGTACTACGGTGGGTATCATCCCCATTTGAGTAAACATCACGTTTGTCACAAGATTAATGAAGGCTGTGTGGTAAGCTTTGCAGGACTCCAGGTGCAGCTCTTTGGCGCAGCGTTGCACAGCGCCTCAAAAAGACAGTCCACACGAGGCCAGGATTCTCGCGATCCCTTCCTGCAGAGTTTTGTGGGACATTCTTAGCATCCTTTAGGTCGCAGCAAGCCTCGGAGATCCGAGATGCTCCTCAGTGTTGGCAAGGGTCTCGGTGCTGCAAATCAAGCCCTGTCCTTCAACCCGCTTGATTTTATCATTGTTTCTGGAAGAATTCTGGACGGGCTTGGCGTGCACCAGAGTTCTGGCCTGTTTCGTTGTAAGGACGTTTGAGCAGAGAACCGGCCACGACAACGCACTGTGTCAAGGTTCCTCCAGACGTGGAAGTTCGAATTCCAATTTTTCTGAGTTTGGCCTGGCCCCTGGATGCGCCAAGCACCAAAGTAGTTGCTTGGCAGATGGTCTTGCCCGGCATAGGCTTTGCTCGTGCTAGGGAATTGGCCATGCCAAATGTATGCTCGGGAGGATGCCTAGAGAAGTTGGAAAGAAGACTCTGCATATTTCACAGGTGACGAAAAAAGACGGTCATCGAAGAACAGCAGCAAAGGCAGGAGCAGAACTGTGCTTGTCATTGAGCTCCGTTGTTCAAAGCTGCTTGCTACTGCCACACTACTAGCTAGCTGCTAGCCAGCTAGCTGTCTAGTAGTAGTTCTAGTCGTCGTCGTTAGTAGTCTTAGTCGTTGTCATCGTCCTCCTCTTCGTTGTAGTAGTAGAAGTGTGGTAGTGGTGGCAATAGTAGTAGTAGTAGTAGTAGTAGTAGTAGTAGTAGTAGTAGTAGGCGCCCCCCCCCCTCTACCAACTATGTTGGTTGATATTTCCACTACCACAGCTTTCGGGGGAGGGGGGAGGGGGGGGGA